GAGGCGGCGGCCCCGAGCGAGCGCTGCCGCGTCGGGAGGGCGCAAGGGGGATCGCTCCCGGCCGGCGTTCGGCGGCGCAGGAGGGCCCCGGGAGGGCTGCAGGGTTTTTATTCGTGGCACGTAAAGTTGTTTCCAAATTCGCCAGCAACAGTGAATTGTACGTGCTGAGGTTTTAATCGCCGCACAGCTGAGCGGGGACAAGCTATGAGTGACCGCAAGTCACAGTACGGTCTTGTTTGTGAATTAGCACAATTAGCAAATAATTATTTAAAATATATATATATAAAATTTACTAGCAGCGTAAGTCAATATTGTAAAGGTGTATCCTTTCTACTATTAAACTTACGGAGATACTGAGGTTCCTCGAGATGGTTTTTAAGCATCCCCTGGTCCAGAAAAGTAGCACAGCTCCTTAAGATTTACTAAGAATATTGCCCGATTTCAATGCCAGAAGGTGCAGTCTAACTGTACTCAGGAAATACTGCACGTAACGCTGCAGTTTGACAGGTCAGAAAAAGGAGCGCCTTTTGCATCAGGGCGAGGAGGACGACTTTCATCCTATCCCTTTTTGACTAACAGATGACATAGCTACGTGGTCACCACAAGCCCTGCAGCACCATCCCAGTGGTCATCCCACAGGGCGGACTCTCAGCAGGCTGCCAAGCGCAAACAGCAGGCGGGGGGACACAAGACGAGCACTCATTATAAATATATAACAATTAGAACTGATCAAAAAAATGTATTTTTTCTAAACATCTTATTTCATTGGAGCAATTAAAAATAAAATTAAAGTCGGAAGGAATTTAAGCTTCAAGTGGCCCAGTTATTACATTAACTTGGGATGAAGAAAAGCCAAATGCAAATCTGGAAGAGGGGTCTCTTGCATGTCCCTCTGTATGTATTTTGGTGTAAAGAAAGAAGTGAGTGATTCTCTCCCATTTCTTTTGAAAAAGATCAGGAAGATTAATAAAGACAAATTCTAGACCACAGTGAAACAGTTCTAACAGCACTATTTCAAATTATGTAACTACCTGAAACTTCTTTTATACATTTCTCTCAAGTGCTTTTAAGAACATGTTCACACACCATCTTTCAAAATAGGATCTTTCTTATAGTCGAGGACATTCAGTGTGAACACAAAATAAAAATACAAGTATAAAGTGATACCATATATCTATCCTTTCACTCTTTTTGCCCTTTTATAGTCTTTATTATGTAAGAAGAAATTGTTCCCTACCCCTTCTGCGTGCAGGAATTATTAGCACAGCATACTGAGACCCTGGAGTTAGGGAATTGGCACCATGTCAGTAACTGAGTCTCTGTCGTATGCCTTAGAAACCATGATGATCGCCCCCATCATTGCTCGAGTTTGAGACACATCTGGCTTTCCTGAAACATCTAAGAGTGCACTCAAAGTAACAGCTGCGTAAGCAGCACTAAACAAGATACAGTCATTTTTGTCTTCACTTGCTGCACTTGACAACGCAGTTTAATCATAAGAGCCTCCTATAGACCAAGTGACATCTCTGCTTCCAAATATTTCAAGTCAGTGGCAGAACGACTCTAAGGTAAAACACATTTTCTCTCTCTGATGTTCTCAAGGAGGGAACACCCTCCTCTCAAAGTACGTTACATTGTTGATGTCAGTATGCTGTCTCCCTGCTTTCCACCATCACAGTCCACCAGGAGCACCAATTGCACTACTTATTAATCATTGTATAGATAATAGTTTTCACCCTTTATAAGATAAGCCAAGTAGCAAATACTTTTTCCTCTATGTAAAGCATTACAAAGAACACCAAGGTCACAATCTCAACAAAGCACACAACCTACCCCTAGGTATATGACACTGTGAACTCCAGAATAGCAGAGCAAAATAAGAAGATACTCACAACAGTAGTCCACCATCTAAAAAAAATGACAGATATCCACTGTGAAGATTAAATAAAATAAAATAAAACCTAATGCAGAATTATCACACCAATACAAGTACGGAAAACAAAGTTTTCACCAAGAACACAAAGAGAATAATAATTCAAAAAAAATTGAGAGAAAGTGAAGAGCAACTTTGCACCAGAACATGACAAAGAAGCGGATATACAAAATACTTTCTATATTTTACATCTTAGGGAGAGGTACGTTTCTCACACTTTAAGCAAGATTTGTTGAATTTGTCAGGTTAAGAATGGCTCACTGAAAGGCCTCCCTTGTTCCCAGCCATGCTTAGTCCTTCCTTTCTGCCATTCAGTGTTACAAGCTGCCCAGTGCCAATACGGAAGCCTCCCACCAAGCCCCCATTGTCCTTCCTCAAGCAGTTGGAAATCTGACCTATATAGCATCTGACCCCAAATAACGTTTCCAGACATTCCCAGTCTGAGACGCTTCCAGACAGACCGACTAGTTAATGAGTAGCTTTCTACATGAACAGTGTAAAATTAGCACCCTAAGAATATCATTGGGAAATGGAACTAAATACCCCTTAAAAGAGGAGATGAAAAAAGTAAAACACATTGGAATGCTTTGTGTTTTCTTCTAGTAATTTAACTATTGCTTAATACAAAAGAAAACTCAAAGAAACGGGAGCAATTCCTGTGCCTGGAAGCCAATGGTTAAGATATAAAACAGCAGCAACTTCCTCTGAGGATGCTCTGAAAAACCTCCAAGTTTCACCACACACAACTCATGCTTCTGAGGCGTACCTTCACTGCACACATAGAATCCAGGAATTGCCATATTAAAGAACTTAATTGCCCATCTTAGTATTCAGTAAGGGGCTGTGTAGTGCATCACATTTACAATACGCTGACAACCGCAGCTTTTTATCCCTAGAACCGTCAGACAACTGTCCAGCTTATGTTCTGAAACATGGTATTACAATACAGTGCAATATAATTATATTACCCAATATAAATATGTTTTTCCTCAATACGCAACAAAATTTATAGTTACATTCCTGGCCCCAGTGATGTCCTACATAGAATTTCAGCCTTTAAAAGTCCAGCTACCTGAACACCACTGTGGCTCAGACCTTATACTCCCTCCCCACCTTTTTTTTTTTTTTTAAATTAAAAAAATACAGCACAAAATTTCAAGATACCATATATGCCAGTTGTTTCTGAACTGAACCCAAAGCAAGTTGTTCTTTCACAATACATTCATTATGGGTACATAAGTTATTACCATATTAAGAAAGAAAAATTCACAGAATAAGAAACTGGGTTCCTTTGCTTTATTATGAAGTACCAATACCTTGCATACAACATGCAATTTATTGCTTATTGACATTATTGCATATATCAAAGGGAAAAAAAATAACCAGCCAATATTATTTTATGCAAGCTCCTAGACTCTTCAAACAAAATATAGAAATGCTTTACAATATCACTGAAATGCAAACAAATATTTCAGACTTTTTTTATTATAAAAAGTAAATTTAAACTCATAATACTTAATCACTCGCCTTACTACGACTGATTACTTTTATCACCAATCTGCAGAATTGTTATATTGCATTTTTAAGTTCTTGTGCCGTGATAAGGATTGCTACTACAATCAGGCCACATTACTATTTGAATTTAATAATGCGTTCCTGACCTTTTGTGACAGGATTAGTATTTACTGCCAACCAGATTGTCAAGATTTACCAGAAATCAGTCTATCAGAATTTACAGTTTTCATCCTTGCTCTGCACACAAGTATCTTCTTAGACAGAAGATTATATAAAACATTTTTCAATTACAGGCTCCATTACTTATGCCTAACTTGCAACTCATTTGTTCCCAACATTTTTTTGTAATTTGGTTTTATATCAGGTTAGCTGTGC